CTGCTTATTGGCAGATCAAAATCGCAGAAGATTCCCGGGAGAAGACTGCATTCACCATACCCAACAGGGGTCTTTATCAATTTAAACGAATGCCCTTTGGTCTTACCAATGCTCCTGCTACTTGGCAGCGATTAATCGACCAAATATTAGGACCGAAATTAGAGCCCTCAGTTTTTGTTTTTCTCGATGACATAATCATTGTCACCTCAACCTTTTCTGAACATATCAATGTTCTTTGTGAAGTTTTTGAACGTTTAATAGCTGCAGGTCTAACCATAAACAAAGAAAAGACTCAATTGTGTAGATCGGAGTTGAAATATTTAGGATACAAAGTTGACTACAGAGGACTTCATGTTGACCCAGATAAAGTTTCTGCCTTAGCTGACATCTCTTCACCGACTACAAAGAAGGAAGTTAGAAGTTTTATTGGAGCCACATCCTGGTACCGAAGATTCATACCAGATTATGCAACAAAAATTGCACCATTGACCAAATTATTGCACAAGAATGTTGTGTTCAAATGGAATGACGAGGCTGAACAATCCTTTCGCATAATCAAACAACTTCTTATAGATGCACCAATTTTGTCTTGCCCTAAATTTGATTTACCATTCGAGCTACATTGTGATGCGTCAGACGTAGGAATTGGATGTGTTCTTACACAACACTATGAGGATGGGGAACACGTAGTCTCTTATGCAAGCCGAACTCTAAACCGAGCTGAAAAACACTACAGCACAACTGAAAAAGAGTGTTTGGCAGTTATATGGGGAATTGAACATTATAGATCATATTTGGAAGGAGCCAAGTTTACTGTATATACCGACCATCATAGTCTTATCTGGTTAGCAAACCTTAAGGATCCCAGAGGACGTTTAGCCCGGTGGGCAGTTCGTCTGCAAGCTTTTGATTTTGAATTAAAACACCGGAAAGGCAAAGATAACGCAGTAGCTGACCTACTCTCAAGAACTGCAACAAAGGAAGCTCAAGAAGAAGAAATTGACTTAGCTTTGATTGAAGTAAAGCAAGATACTAAAGATCGTTGGTTCCAGAAAATGTTTGATAGTGTTTTAAATTATCCCGAAAAGTACCCTTCATGGCAGGTTAAAGGAAATAACCTCTACAAATACATTAGGCCAAGACAACCGGAAATTGATCGCCGCTTTGAGTGGAAACTTGTTGTTCCAAAGGATTCTCGACATGAAGTGTATCGAGAATGTCATGATGACCAATGTGCAGGCCATCTTGGGTTCTATAAAACATATAATCGTGCATCACAATTGTATTATTGGCCGAAGATGAAAGCTGACGTGGCATCGTATGTGAGGAACTGCCTTACATGTCAAGTCTCAAAACCTGAACAGAAGAAACCTGTAGGACTAAGGGGAACCCCCGTCTCCCCTCATCACCATTTGAAATCCTATCTGCAGATGTCATCGGACCACTTCCACGTACGTCAAGAGGATTCAAGTACATTTTAGTTGTGACCGATCTGTTTTCTAAGTTTACACTACTCTTTCCATTAAGATCTCTATCATCAAAATTAATCGCCCAGCATCTGGAAGAAGGAGTTTTTCTAATATTTGGAATACCCCGTGCTCTTATTTCAGACAACGGACCTGAGTTTATAGGAGCATCAACAAGAAACCTTTGTGCTTCTTACCAGGTTAAAATGTTCTTCAATGCTAGGAGACACGCTCAAGCGAACCCGACTGAAAGGTACAACAGGACATTAATCACAATGATCCGTTCTTATGTTGGAGATTTTCACAAGAAATGGGATGATTGTCTTCCAAAACTTGCATTTGCCCTTCGCACTGCTAAAAGTGAAGTCACAGGATACACTCCAGCCAGTCTAGTTTTTGGACGAGAAATAACGCAGCCACTAGAAGAAAATTTAGAATCTGCAAACCCAGAGACACTTCAAGATCAGAGCCGTCTTAGAGAACTAAAGAACGTCCATGAAAAAGTTAAACAGAGATTAGCCATGGCTTATGTGAGGAGTGCCCGCCAATACAACCTGAGGAGACGACACATGGAGTTTCAGGAAGGAGACGTCGTTTGGAAAAGAAAATTTACCCAGTCAAACAAAGAAAAGGAGATCATTGAAAAATTTGCCCCTAGATATTGCGGACCTTATGTGATCAACCGGAAAATATCATCTCTGATTTATGAACTAGCTGACACAAATGGGCAGAGTGTTGGAAGATGGCACATCGAAGACTTGAGACCCTACGTTAGCACCGATAGACCACCTGACGAACCCTAGACATGAAGATCACCATAGAGAGGCGCCTTCGTCTTTTAAGGAAGGGTGGGATTGTGACATTTTATTTTATTGGAAGAAAATACAAAAAAAAATATATAAACAAGAAAAATACAAAAATATATTTATTTAGCTACGTATTATTTGGAGAGAAATTTCAACCAGCTTGAATTTAGGAAAATATGTTGGAAACAGGAAAGATAGACAAAGAGACCTTGGATTTCAGGTGCATTCCTTATCTCTTTCATGTCCGATCAGCTACAATACCTCTCCCCTTTCCCCTCCCCCCAAACCCCTTCTGTACTCTTCCATTCTGTGTCTAGTTCTAACTCTGAATTCTGAGTAGCAGGATATTTACTTGTTGGATCATAGTTTTACTTGCCCGTTGTGGGGATTTATGTCCAATAATTATTGAAGATTTGTTATTTAGTCAGTATTAGTTCACATATTTTGGTTCGGAGTACAGTGCAGTTAAATTTGTCTATTAATATTATAATTGACAAAATCTGAGTTTTGTTACAATCATTTTCATACAGGATTATCTTAACTTACTGAATAACATAAAAAAATATTGCTGAAGCCTTAGGGTAAGTTTATTCCATGTATTATTTTATTAGATTTAAGGTGTTTTCAAGAAATTTGTAGTTTCAAGTGATTTAAATAATTTGTAAATTTGATTTCAAACTGCCAAATTGAACTGTACAGACATGTTAGATTTGGACAAACTAAAACCTGTTGGTAAAGTTACAAGTATGAAGTTACAACATTTTCATAAATTGTTTTTGTAACTTGAGAAATTATATTTACTTGATTGTTTAGAAACAAAGGTATATATCCTGAAAGTTGATTTTGCAATGAATAATTTGCTCTTCTTTTTTCAAAGACAAAAATGTATAAATTAATTCTAGTGTTTAATTGTTTTATCATGTGTTTAATTGTTTTGTACAGTAAAAATTAATTTGTTTATTTTACCAGGCACATTGATCAGGTATGTACATTGTATGGTTCAATTTAATGTTGTATTACCGGTATTATTTAATTGTTGTATATTTATCCTTGAAAATTGATTAACCTTGTAAACTTGTATTTTTAATTAGGCGGTAATACCTTTTTGTTGTAAAGCTGTATATATTCCTTTCTAAAAAAAAAGAGCTATTTTGTAAGGTCATCCATAAAAAAAAAAAGTATAATGAATTCTTGATTTATGTTTAAAAGTAAATAAGGTCTCATTAAAATAAAGTAATGAAATGTCTCAAATGTTATTCACAAAAAGCTCTTGAGTTGCATTGTTTACTTATCAAAAAAATATTTGATTAAAATGCTTATCTACAATGAAATAATCAATAATAAGACACTTGTTATTTATATCATGGGTTATTTCAGGCTTCTTATGTACAGTATAGCCTACAAAGGATCTCATGTCTCGCTCTATTCATGTAAATGAAGCTGAAATGCACTAATACGAGTTGGATTCAATAATTATAACCCAAACTGGTAACGAGTTAACCCAAGGACTTCCTAGATCATCAAACCAAGGTAGACAGACTTATACTTTTATTTATTGCTGTGCGATCTCACTTCAGCGTCCCTGCATAGTGCCACAGACTATTGGATTTTGTGGAGTAAATTGTGTAAATAGGTGTCTACAGTACAGCCGGAGAACTTTTGTATATTATAAATTTTAATTAAGTTTTCTCTGTGGTAGTCGGATATAACTTTATAAATTGTTCCAAGGGTATTTTATTTAATTATTTTGTAGGGTTTATAATCTCAAACTGCATATTATACATTGTATCCAACCTAACCTTTGTTTTCTCTTACTCCCCCCCCCCCTCCTCCGACCTGAACAAACCGAGGCAAGAATATTTTAAGATAACTGAATTTAGGTCTGTAACACGTGACTATATAGTTTCATTGTATACCAGTTTGAGCTTGATGCATTAAATTTCATAATCTCAAATAAAATTGCATATTGTCTTCTGTTTGCAACTGAAATCAATTTTGTACAAAGTAAAAAATCAATACTCTACTGATGCGCAAATAATAAAAAAAGTACATTCAACTGCTTGAAATAAAACACTTTTTTCCATAGAACAACATTTTGATTATTAAATTTATATTTTTAGCATTATGCACTTTAAGTTAAAAAATATTTCTTGGTGACATAATAAGTTAGCCTATGGCTTGTTGGTTGGTCTTGTTTATCCATCCTTAAAAACTGAGCAAATTTATATTACATCCTTCGTATTGCGTTTAACATCCAATAGTCAATGGTTTAACTTAGACTAATAACTATAACTGGATAACAGACCAATGGATATTCACAGGCGAGGTTTTCATTCAGGATTCAAAGCATTGGACCATGTTTAATGAATATGTTTTCTTTTCAAGTAAACTTATTGAGAAAATTTGCTGGTCGCTCTGATCTCAATAACAACTCTTTAAGATCAGTGTTTTCATGCCCGGGTTAATTAATATATGTGTTGTGATTTATTATGCTTAGGTTTCAAGCTGAAGTATATTTTTAGTGATTGGTGATTGTACTATTTGACTTAAAAACTACAAATCATTCTACCATTTTGCTCTTTATTAGGCTCTTTGTATGGTTCAGAAAAAAGTCTGTGTCATCAAATTTAAAAGTTTTTTTTTGAAAGATTAAAAAAACCATGAAGCAATCATTTTAAAAAGAAAACTCTTTTAAACTCTAACAAAGGGTTGTACAATTTGATTTCAGTTGCCGTGAAAAAAGGATAGAACAGAAAGATGAACTAGAGGTTGAAAAAACACACGAGTATCAAGAGTTAGAAATGATGGCTGTTGACAACGATGTAATGCGTAAAGATCTAGAGAATCTGCAAGCCCAGTTCTCAGCAATGAAACAGTTTGCCATCTCTAAGAATATTGCTTTGCCCCACGATCTGCTAGCCACAGTCTAACTTAAGAGCAAATTACAGGTTAGAACAAAATTAATGTCAATAACCTTGTGCATGTTCTATAAATAGGGGTCTCCAACCTATGGCCCGCAAGTAATATCCCACGTGCAGAGTTTTTTCATTTTTCCAGCCCGCAAAAAGTCAGCATAGGCTATTGAAAATATTGAGTGAATACCCGAGTCTTTGCAGTCTTGGCAATACCATGATTGTGTCCCACGATCGCTGTAAAACTCATTGACATATATATATATTGCGGTCTCAGCGATATCGTGATCGTCCCCCTTGATTGTGGGCGTGGCAATACTCGTGACTATAAGTTGTTATTGGTCTTAGCAATACCAGCTTATCTTGTCCCGCAATTGCGGCTTATACCAAATTCAAGTGCGACTCACTGTCTTTTCCAATCAACAAAAATTCACGTACAGTTCCCAGTCTGCAGGTCGGCTGGCGGCTACCGTGTTAAAATATGAGTATAGTACATTTCTCTCACTTGAGATTTTTTTACTCAATATGGAAAAATTAGCAGGAAACGTAGTGTCCTAGTCATCAAAGTACAGATCTGCTGTGTTAGTTATACGTTTTAAGTCAATCCTAATCCTAATCATCAGATCTACAAATTGCATTGCAGCCCTAAATGAGCTGAAAGTTTAGTTGGCGAATTATATATTCTCACTAATAATTTATGGTTCTTTTTACGCTTTAAATACACTTGTTGTGAAGTTTTCTCTGCCCCATTACCATAAAAAACTCTTGGGGTTAATTTTAGTACATAGAAGAAATTTATTAGGCTTATCTGGAATTTTGGTTAGCGGCTCAGTGTGTTTGTGCTAGAAGGAGTTAAATTTAAATTTCTGCATTAAACTGAAACATGCCTTCCCTCCAAAAATGTACAATGTGGCCCTCGAGGAAATAATGGTTGGAGACCCCTGTCCTGTAACAAGTAGGTCGAGGAATAAAACAATAATTAACAGAAATTGGGTAGACTGATCTTGTGATGTTAAGTTATAAATTGTTTTGCGTTTCCATCCTAATAAACATTCTTGAATGTAGAGTCAAGTCCTTAAATAACCTAGGTTCCATTATTTTTGTTTAACTTATTTTCTAAAATCATTTAGATGTTAACACTATTTAGTAAGGTATATTTTATTTTTATGTTTGGTATATTGCTATTGAAAGAGAAGTCCAGGTGCCACAGCATGGTTGAAAACAGATAAGTAGAATAGCTTGTTCAGAGAGCAAGTATTTCAAGTCACAAAAGTCAAAAAAGCTGTTAGGAGAGTTTTGAGGAAGTAGCCTATCCTAGTAAAAATTGCTTTGTTTCAACATTTACCTTTTCGATTTAGAGTATGTAAATTTACCAATTTCTTTTAACTATTTGTCAATTTACACTGAACTAAATTACAGAATGGCTTTATTTACAATAGGCCTACTCTACAGACTCAAAACATATTTGTTTACCTGAATGGCCATCGTGCTTCCCTGACAATCTTACCTGAATGGCCATAAAGCTCTCCTGACAATTATAAGGTCATCTGTTCCAACTATTTGATGGTTCTAAAACTGGGCCCATTTGACATTTGGAAATTTTTGATAAACGCTCCTAAGGGAAGAAACAGCGAATCTTACTCAGTAATAACAATAATAGAGTTACATGGATCATCTCACTTCATTCTCCACACCATTTTGTATTCATATTCAGCTTAAAATATGTAACCAGGTGTGTGTGGTTGTCTTTGACTAATTGATCTGGTTTTGTAGTTAGTCTTTCTGTTGTATTTTGACAACTTATTAGTTGTATATTTTTAAATTTTTGCTTCAAATTTTATTCAACATAAAACACCCAAATAGGTTGCCGTTTTAAAATTATTGGCACATAATAATGATAACATATCTTATACTAAAATGACTCTCCTTGTACAGAAAATCACATTGCACTACCGCTACTTCAATAATGCTATAATACAAAACCTCAAGATATTGTGACTCAGTGAAAACACAACTAAGCTGATTTTTGTGACGTATTGCCTTTAAAGAGTTGAAATGTTCTTCAATCCATTTTCCCTCACATCGTCATCCTGTGGTTCCAGTTGCCGCATCAAGAGGATCGAGCAGATAGATGAACTGGAGACGGAGAAGTCTGCGGAGTACCGAGACATGGAAGTCATGGAGGACGAGAACAACTCACTGAGACTTCAGCTGCAGGACTTGCAAGCTCGCTATGCTGCGCTCAAGAAGTTCGCTTTGCTGCGTAACATCCCAATACCTCCCGAACTAGATTGAGAGACACGTGGCATAGTGGCTGTCTATCTGACATAACTTGTAATAATAGTTTACAAAGATTATTTGGGCACCCGGCAAAGGATTTATTTGATTTTTTATTAAAATAATTTAAATTTTGAGATTGTTTTAGAAGCAAGCGGAGATTTAAAAAAATACACATTCCTTTTGATAGTTTGTTAACTCAATGTCCTTAGTTTTCAGTGAAAGTGTTGGTGGTTTTGATTGCTCAAATATGCTCTTGTTAAATGAAAAGTACATGGATAAAAGATAGACAGCCATCTTGCGATTATAACCTTTGATCACGGGTCACTTGATAACATTGTAGTGAAGCTATTTATTTAAAAGACAGCTTTTTAAGTATCCGTAAAGTATGTTTTCCTGCCTATGTAGGTGACTGTAATGGACTTGGGAATGGTGTAGTATAGAAAACATAAAAATATGATTTTTAATAAGTCATGGCTATGTTAGCCTTTAATAATTTTTTTCCGTTGATGACGGTGGTTTATGATGGCTTTCTTGAAGTGAAGCAAGTTTGGAATATACGAAACAGTTGAATAATTTGTCGCATGCAATAAAATTATTCTATGCCTTTTTTACAAAACATTTGTTGTCATTATGTGGTATGACATGTCTAAGACCAATATATGCATATGACATTTGCCTTAGGCTAGTATGCATATGACATATGCCTAAGACTGATATTTGCACATTATTGGCATACAACATCGATTCTAAATCATGTAAATGTTAGATACTGTAGACAAACTTCACTTTTCCTGCTGTAAGTACAGTTTTTATCTAAATATTAATGTAATATTAAACTGTTCTTAATAGTTATTTGTGCAACTAGTGAGAAAAGTGAGCAATTGACTCACTCGAGAGAAATCCTTACTCACGAGCCGTAGGCGAGTGAGGAATGGTTTCTCGAGTGAGGCAATTGTACTTTAAACTCGAGTTGCACATTATACTTTTCCTACAGTTACCATAAAACAAATAAATTTGTGAAGAAACATAACCTATTTTTACACAGAAGTGAACTTTTAATATAAAATTTAATGTGAAGTGACAAATACAACAGTACAACAGCTGACCAGCTGATTTACAGCCAGTGCTGCCAACGTATTTCGCGCGCATACGACGTTGCCTGCATGTTACACGCTCACTATTTCGTGCCTTCACGTTGCAAATCTGGAGTGAGACAAAGTAATTAGAGTGAGACAATGTTAACATTGTCTCACTGATGAGCGAATTGGCCACTTTGCTTTCTCAAATCAGTGAGAGAACATGTACATTGTTAGGTAACTGTAGGAAAAAAGAATTGTACCTACTTCATAATGTATGATTTTAAATTATTTGTTTGGTTGTAGCTGGCGTTAAAACGTGTACCAGGGATGTAAAATTATCAATGTCAAAAGAGAACTAAAGTGCAAGGTTGTTTTGCATCTTACCTCGGTCAATAAAAAATTTTTAACCCTTTGAATTTTCAAATTATTTTTTAATTGTAAGAATTTAGTATTATGGTTTGGTTGTTAATACAATATTTATATACTTTAACTTTGGTTAAGACTCATTTGAAATATATTTTTATACTTGGTTTTTGTTCCTTACAATAAATATTTTACATTTAGTAAGTTTTTTCAATTATTACCTAAGTACCAATGCAAAATTCAATTGAAATAGGATGAAGGAGATGGAGGAATGTTTTTTGGGAACTGTATGGGGTCAGTTAGTGTTTTTGAATTTCAACCAAAAAAGTCAGTAATTTGTATTTTGGTTTTAATTTTATCACCAAAGTTAATTTATCCCATTATAGCATAAACATGAACAATCTTTAGACATTTTGATCCTTTAGCTGTTTAATTCTTCTAACGGTATAATTTAATTTGCAGGAATGTTTTGTAGTTTTTAGAATCATTACTTGCCGAAGGTTTTTTCCTATAACTCGCCTTAAGATTATTCATTCAAAATTAAACATAGTTATTTCATCATCATCTGCATCTCAATGTTACTCAACTTTGTTGACATTAACATAGAGTAAGCAACACAAGTAGAGTACTCATCCCATTGTAAATTTTGTAGCTTGTTTTTTGTGTCTAGTTCATGTATGTCACTGATCGCTAGTGTAGATAAAATTTTGTTTATATCATTTCAGGGTTATTTTCATGATTTGTGCTCTATGTTTGGTTATATAACTAGGAGACCATTTTTATTCTTTATGATTAGATAATTTTATTTGGTTTGACGAGGTTTTAAATTAAATAACAAGAAACAAATTGTAAAAAAAACACATTTTTATTTATTTATTTTTTTTTATAAAAAAAAAAGAGGTTGGCGGCCTCTTTTAACCTTGCATTTGCCCGTCCACATAGACTAAGCGCCCGTGCGTGGATCGTTTACAGCAAAGCAAGGAGTGAGCCGGTACAGTACAAAGGTGAACTGTACTGATAAAATGTTATTGGCAGTGACCAGGATCCGAACCCACGACATCGCTGCCTTGGGCCCGAAGTCCACGACGCTACTGACTGAGCCACCGACTCACTAGTGCTACAAGTGCTACTAGTAGCCACAAACTCTACAGTGCGGTGCAGGACTAACAATAAAATTGGATTCAGCTGTTCCATAATGATGACAAATCTAATAAGGGAGTATGTTTTATCTATGCTATTGATAGCTAAAGAAACACCTAATCTTAGCCAGTAACAAAGTTACATGGATTCACTCACTATTCTACTCCCATTGCACCAAGGCTACACTAAATTAGTGTGGCCTTGATTGCACTAATTGAGCTCTAAACATGCACCCAGAGTGTGTTGCTGTCTCAAATATTTGAATTGATTGAATAGTAATAATTGATTTTTCACCTACAATATTTGAACATACATTTTCATTTTAAAATAGTAAATTATAAACCGGAAAATAACCAATGGAGCAACAGAAATTGAATTAAATCCTGTCAGTTAGAGTTTAATCTTGCTAGTCAATACCTTCATTGTTTGCTTTTCATTATCTGAAGATTGGATGATAGCTGGATTTATTTTTAGTCTCCTTTTCTTTACATCCTTTGTTGTTGATAAATAACAAGGTAATACCTTTAGTATCCAATAGTCAATGGTAATACTCTAGATCTGTTAAAATAAATGTCATTGGAACTATCTTTAAACGGTCAATAATTGTTTAACAGAGAACAGCTTTTATTGGTACCGACCGGTATTGTAATTAAGAAAATCTCAGAATCATAAATTCTTGGATTTAGTTTTAATGGCTGTAAGCTGAACCTTTGACTAATAGCATGATATTAAATTAATTTTCTATGTGCTGCATTATGAGTCATCTATATATATAAAAGGCAAAGCCCTCACTGACTCACTGACTGACTCACTCACTCATCACTAATTCTCCCACTTCCCATTTACCTAGGAGGCTGAAATTCGGTACACCGATTCTTTGGGCATTAAATAGGACAACTAAGTAGTTTTTATTCTGATCGGGCTTTCCGGCTCCGCCCCAGTGGCTCTGGAGTTTCCCATGTTAACCTTATGATGTTTCATATTTAAAAGGAATTAATGAATCTTAACAGCTGTTTCAATTAAACAAGTTGAGCCATGCGTACGAGCTCATCTTGAAAATTAAGAAGTTAAACAGGGCAAAGCCCGCGGGTACAGCTAGTTGGTAATAAAAGGCTCAACTTTAAGGGTGGGTCTTGTGATTTTTTAAATGTTTCAACAGTTATGAACAATATCTATCCTAAATTGCATGTTCTGGCTCCAGTCAGAAAATAAAAAATAAACTTTTTTTATAATTTTATACTTCTAAGCTCATTATTTATCATTTAGATGGGGACACCACCTATGTGCATCTTTTAACCCAACTAAGAGTGAAGGATTAGTGTAGGTAGAATGTTGTGAGATGACCTGTGTAACCGCTGTTACTGACTAAGATCAGCTGTTTCATATGCCAGGATCATGTATTAAAAGCCTAATGATCAGGAACAGCTGGGACTAGTTTCAAACCATCAAAAACCAACTGACTTTTCTCAGGATCGAACCGGCAATCTTTTAATAATTGTTAGACGAGCACTATACTCAGCTACCCAGTCAAATATTAACAGCTTATAACAACAGAGTAGTTCTAGTTCAGATGCATGAACTCAAACAGATATAGGTTAAATAAGTCTTTCTTTTATATAGAGTGAGCTGCTATTAAAAATATTGTAGCAGTAATTGTAAATTGTATTTTGTGAGGGGGAAAATCAAGGCCCCACTAGAAAAACAGGCCATGCTGCAGGATCCATGTCACGCTTGTGGATAGATTCACTGCAACACATATCCTATATGTTTCGACAAATAAGCTGGCTGAGGCTGATAGTCAGATTTTACGTTTGGCAGCTTTAGCACAGCTATCCACCACTGTGACGTAGAGCTGTGCTGCTGCATGGCCTGTTTTTCTAGAGAGGCCCTGGGAAAATACCCTTTTGGTGACAATCAACTGATTGGATGTTAAGGAACTTTATTCCTGACGTCCAAAACCAATTTTTGTCCGTGCTACAAAAGCGCATAAAGAGAGAGATTGTTTAGAACTTTTTATACTGCACCTTTTTATTTTTTTCTTCCTTTTTTGTGTGCACCTTTTAAATTTATTCTAAACAGGACAAATATGTACAAAATTTTAAAAACTGCTTTATAAGGTAACTATTTATACAAATTTTTCACCTTGTTCCATTGACCAAGTTAAGCCCCTAAGTATGCTGGTGTTAAGGTAGAGCCAATATCACCACAGTTGTCCGTTACCAGTTGTCTGTAATGGATTTAAAGATTTACAGAGAGAGTTTCAACATGTTATTACATCACTCCTTATTTATTAAATAATTCTTAACATCTGCTAGAATATTTTACAAGCCCTCTTTTAAGAAAAGCAGACTTGCAATTAATATGTCATCAATTCTTAAATAAAGTTATAGATGTTCTCACGTTTTATTTTCCAGATGACTCATTCCTTTCATATGTGATAATAAATTAAAAATGTAATGTGACTTTTAATCGAGAGAACCCTGTAAACTTATTCTTTTGTTGGCTATACAGTTACACCCAGTTTTTCTAAATTTTAATGATTTGTAACAAAATATTCACAAATATCTTTTTAATCATTAGTAATGAACTTGTAGATCTATTAGTTAAAACTGTCTTCTTTTTTTCCCCATCTTTACTTAAAAGATATATTTTATTATTCAGTACTCATTTTATTTGCCACGTGTCACGTGTCAGATGATCTAAGTTAATTTATAAATTTTTCAGCGAGGTACTATGGTTCACATTGGGTAATAGAGGTGGCTGTGGTAATAGTAGATAAATTAAATGAAATAAAAATTCTTTACAGACTATGTGACGGAAGGAACTTTCATTACTTTTACTTTATTGAACAATGGATCTCAAACTCAACTATGTTGCCCTCTTCAAGAATGTTAGGGGTTGGTAAAATAGTTTAGAAATTATTCTCTCCATGGCTTAACACGTTCGCTACTGAGCGTCACATATATGAGACGCCGCGGTCATTGCCACAGACCGAGGTATACATTTGAATCCTACACATAGACCGGCTGTCACTTGGTTAAAAGTACACTTACAGACCACGGGCAAAAACCTGTAAAACAGTGATCATTTACATTATAATGCGCTAAAATTGTGTTTGTAAATAATTTATTCTTGTTTTTTTATATTTTTTATAACCTTTTGTAATGTCGCATATTCGCGACGCCCGGTCTACAGCGAAGACAATAGTGAAAATGATTTAATAACATTAGAACCCCGACGCAAATATGCGACGGCAGTCTATTTTAATGTGACTAGCCGTCGCGGGTGGAAACCGGCCGTCGCATATGTTCGTCGCTGGTCCATGTGAATGAAAAATTGCGTACCTACTATTGCAGTAGCGAACGTGTTAAATGACTTTTGGAGATTTAACAAAAACAAATAACTTTTAGCTATCATTATTACAATTATGATGGAGATAATTATGGGGAGAGAGCTATATTTTCAGGAAAATTGAGTATCAAGCTCAAGCTTTAAGTTATCAGATAGCTAAAGCAATTCTGAGCGAGCTGGCAACTTTGGTAATTACAGTAGTTGCCTTGTGTTATCAATTGCTTTGCAAGTATGTAAGGAATCTTTTGGATAATTAGTCATCTCAACCTAAAACATATTTACTATTCAGGTGGAAATAGGTATATAACTATATTGAAAAAAAATTCAGCAAAAGCAAAAGCAATGAATGTTTATAATAGCCAATTGAAAAGATATACAAATGGAAACATAATAAACGTGTTAAAAAGGTAGTTCAACACCATCCACTTGGAACACGTTTATAAAAACCAATGGTTTATTAATTTTCTAAGTATTCCATGCAGTTCAAAACTTAAAAAATAGTGAAGTAATAAATTTGTTCACAATTCAAGAATTGAATAGTAATATTAATAAATAACTAATAATTAATTAATAAATTAATTATTTATTAACTGCAGTAATTAATGTAATTTATTAATAAATGATAATTAAATAAATAATATCATGGCATACTACCTAATGACTTTGACAAATAGTATAAAGAATATTTACCCCTTTATGAGTTTTGCAT